ATGTATTTTTGTTCAATAATATTTTTTCTTTTTTTCTTTGGTGTTTTGAGAGAATTCTATGATAATAATGAATATTTATGCAATAATTATGATCATTTTTTTCCCATTGAATAAAATAGAAAGTTTATATATATATATCATTTTTATTAATTTTTAATTAATGCTGTATTTCAGGTTAAATTAGAGACTAGGCCTATAGAAAAAAAATGTTGAAAGCAGATTGGAGCCATCTGTTGGAAGTAGTGAGCATAATTATCATGCAATATCATATTGTAACCACTAGATGGATTTACAGCTCTCTGTGAATTCTAGTTGTTTTGAAAAGATTTCCCTATTTGTTTCAGGTTGTGGATTTTAATATATAATAAGAGATTCTCAAAGACTATTTTTGTCAAGTTTTTTTTTTGAGAATTTTATGATAATAATGAATATTTATGCAATAATTATGATCGATTTTCCCCATTGAATATATATATATATATATATATATATATATATACACTCACCGGCCACTTTATTAGGTACACCTGTCCAACTGCTCGTTAACACTTAATTTCTAAGCAGCCAATCACATGGCGGCAACTCAGTGCATTTAGGCATGTAGACATGGTCAAGACAATCTCCTGCAGTTCAAACCAAGCATCAGTATGGGGAAGAAAGGTGATTTGAGTGACTTTGAACGTGGCACGATTGTTGGTGCCAGAAGGGCTGGTCTGAGTATTTCAGAAACTGCTAATCTACTGGGATTTTCACGCACAACCATCTCTAGGGTTTACAGAGAATGGTCCGAAAAAGAAAAAACATCCAGTGAGCGGCAGTTCTGTGGGCGGAAATGCCTTGTTGATGCCAGAGGTCAGAGGAGAATGGCCAGACTGGTTCGAGCTGATAGAAGGGCAACAGTGACTGAAATAACCACTCGTTACAACCGAGGTATGCAGCAAAGCATTTGTGAAGCCACAACACGCACAACCTTGAGGCGGATGGGCTACAACAGCAGAAGACTCCACCGGGTACCACTCATCTCCACTACAAATAGGAAAAAGAGGCTACAATTTGCAAGAGCTCACCAAAATTGAACAGTTGAAGACTGGAAAAATGTTGCCTGGTCTGATGAGTCTCGATTTCTGTTGAGACATTCAGATGTTAGAGTCAGAATTTGGCGTAAACAGAATGAGAACATGGAACCATCATGCCTTGTTACCACTGTGCAGGCTGGTGGTGGTGGTGTAATGGTGTGGGGGATGTTTTCCTGGCACACTTTAGGCCCCTTAGTGCCAATTGGGCATCGTTTAAATGCCACGGCCTACCTGAGCATTGTTTCTGACCATGTCCATCCCTTTATGGCCACCATGTACCCATCCTCTGATGGCTACTTCCACCATGTCACAAAGCTCTAATCATTTCAAATTGGTTTCTTGAACATGACAATGAGTTCACTGTACTAAAATGGCCTCCACAGTCACCAGATCTCAACCCAATAGAGCATCTTTGGGATGTGGTGGAACGGGAGATTCGCATCATGGATGTGCAGCCGACAAATCTGCGGCAACTGTGTGATGCCATCATGTCAATATGGACCAAACTCCCTGAGGAATGCTTCCAGCACCTTGTTGAATCTATGCCACGAAGAATTGAGGCAGTTCTGAAGGCAAAAGGGGGTCCAACCCGTTACTAGCATGGGGTACCTAATAAAGTGGCCGGTGAGTGTATATATATTATTTTTTTATTATTATTATTAATACTGTATTTCAGGTTAAATTAGAGACAAGGCCTATAGAATTATTTTATTTTTTTATCAGATTGGTGCCATCTGGTGAAAGTAGTGCATAATTATCATGCAATATCATATTGTAACAACTAGATGGATTTACAGCTCTCTCTAGAAAGGCTTCTGAATTCTAGTTGTTTTGCACATATTTGCCTATTTTTTTCAGGTTGTGGATTTTAATATATAATAAGAGATTCTCAAAGACTATTTGCCAAGTGTTTTGTTTGTTTGTTTGGTTTAAAATTATTTTTTGTACAATTCAATGAACAGTAACTCTTATTCAAAATTGGCAACAGCAATTATGAACAAAAAACTAAAATAACAGCAAAAGTATAATAATTATCAAACAGTAAATGGAAAATAGGATGATATTTAAAACACTTTTTTATTTCTCAATTTTTTTGACAATTATTATACTTTTGCTGTTATTTTAGTTTTTTGTTCATAATTGCTGTTGCCTTTTGAATAAGAGTTACTGTTCATTGAATATGCAAATAATATACACATATGTAAATATAGTTAGGTATTTAAAAGATATTTAAGATATTTAAAACTTTTATTTCTCTAACTATATTTACATATTATTTACATACTAACTGTATTTGTAACTAACTGTAACTATATTTTATTTCACATATTCTCACATTTCTGTTACAGTTTCACCAGTCTCATATTTCCGTGTGTGTGTGTGTGTGTGTGTGTGTGTGTGTGTGTGTGTGTGTGTGTGTGTGTGTGTGTGTGTGTGTGTGTGTGTGTGTGTGTGTGTGTGTGTGTGTGTGTGTGTGTGTGTGTGTGTGTGTGTGTGTGTGTGTGTGTGTGTGTGTGTGTGTGTGTGTGTGTGTGTGTGTGTGTGTCTATTTTGCAACCTTGATGGCTTACAGTCTAATGCTTTCATTGCTGTGTGCTTTTAATTCCTTACATTGATGAATAATTGCTTTTATTTCACACATTTCCCAAAATTAGCTTTTGCAATGACACACGTTCATTTGTGTGTGCGTGTGTTTTTGTGTGTATAAGTATGTGTGTGTGAGAGTGTATGTGTCTGTTTTGCACTCTTGATGTTTTAGAGATTCACCCCTTCACTGTTGTGTGCTTTTTTTCTGCATCGTGGCTGATTTGTAGATTGTAAACACAAAAAAACTCTGAATTTTCATACTTTTGCCAATTTCCCATTTATTTCCTATGGGCGGTCATTTATGACCGAAGGTCCCGAGTGTGACTTTTTTTTTACGACCACTTAGACTTTTCAAATCATGTCCCCAATTTTTTTGTGTGTTCATATACCAAGTACCATAAAAGTCACCAAGTTTCGTACCATTCCGATGAAGCTACGATTTTTAACAATTTTTTATTTAAAAACTTCCGGTCATAAATGACCGAAGAACCCCAGAGGGTTAAGATTAACATCCATAGAATGAAAATCTGACCAAAAAATGATTATGTAGTCTATAGGCATGTGTAAACAAACTTACAAACTTTATGTTTGTAGAGTCTGTCGAGCAACAGTTGTAAAAGACTACCGGTATTCTAAATCATTCAGTGTGAACCCGGTTTATATATTATAAATGGCTGTAAAAAAATAAATCTGCATTGTTTATCCTTTTGATCTTTCATTAAAAAAACAATTCCCCCATACAGAATCTCTCCAGAATCTTCAGATTCCCAGATTTAGATTTTTTATCTGTTGGTATTTGATAGAATCCACGATGCCATATATCTGAACAAGAAGTCCAGGACCTCCAGCAGAAAAATATGCCCACAACATTAAAGATCCTGCAGTATATTAAATTGTACACGTGGGGTACTTTTTATCATTGTGCGCACTAAACCCATCTGTGTGTTTGCTGCTAAAAAGCTCTTTTCTTAGTTTTTTGCTGCACACCAGAATATTCTATATTCGTTTTACTCATTGTGATGGATGATTAAGGGAATTTGGCCTTTGTGTTTCCTAAAATTTAAACTCCTGTGCTGTGAAACAAAAAGTCAAAGCTAGACAATTTCATGTTCCTAGTGCTAAAAAAAAAGATACATATTAATGGAAATATACTTCAGAGATATTTTACTCGTAAAAAATTCTAGAGGTGCCAATAATTGTGGCCAACATGTTTTGGAGAAAAACATTTATTTCATAATGTGCCAGGAAGAGGATGTGTCTCTCAGAGTTTGAGTGGCCAAAGACTCTCCAATGTTTTGGAGAAAAAGATTTATTTCATAATGTGATTCAAACCACATAAGAATGTAACTCGAAACGGATTTGTAAAAATCGCATTTCATGGGATTTTTTTTGCCATTCACACGTGACACTGACAGTCTGAACGAGGCCTAAATGTCACTATACTTCCAAATCAGATAAATAAACAACCAACAAATCTTTTCTGAATTGGAAACTGATTAACATCAAGTATTTAGATCAGTACTGGTTTACGTTTTTGCGTAATGTGTCTATAAGTCACTATGCATAACAGATTTTGTTTAAGGACCGCAATTATTGAAAATAAAAGTACATAAAAAAACAAAATACCAAAGTCAAAAGCAAAAATTCAAATAAAGAAACAAAATATTTTACAAAAAAGAAAATGTTATGACAGTCAAACTTGAAATGTAGGCAGACAGATTCTCAAATGTACATAAATATGATTTAATATATACACAACTCGTGTGCATTGCAATATCCTGTGGTTCGTTCAATCATATTAAAAGATTTAAAAATATTGGTTAAGAGCACTGAAATTATTTATATAGATCAGTGGTTTATTGACATTGTATCAATGGAGAAAAGTGTAGTGTGTTATCTCCAGAAAACTAAACTATGTGCAGACTTTTGATCAAATAGACAAAGAATAGACTGCACAAAAAGTATAAAGTGAATCAAGGTAAATTGTGCTACTTGTGTGAAAATGTGGCTCAGCGTACCAAAATTCATTTCCCCCACTAGACAACAATTTTTACAGTTGTACTACATTTACAGTTGTAATCTGTAATGTAAATAAGACATAGGTGGTATAAAAACAAAATGATTGAATCGTATTGTTTGATACAGCTGATAGTTAAATACTGTCTTTTGACATCTTCAATTTGGAACACAAGTGTACGGTATACTTTAAAATTAAATACAATTTGACTAACAATGCTATGTTAAGCATCACATCAAGAAATTTGTGCATCGTTACACCCCTACAACATATGCACGTGACATATCATATTTTCATATTTTAAGAAAAACATACTACACCATTAAGTTAGGACTACCTCTATCTCTATCTTCCCGTCTGCCTTCTCATGCAAATAACTGCAAAAATCACAGATATCGCACATACCAATAGCAGGACAGCGACAACAACTCCTATGTGACGTCTGGATGGTTCATGTTCTAAAAAGAGGAAGCATTTAGAATCAGATCAAAATGTTAAGATTTTATCTGATACTTTCTATTTCTGAAAAAGCTCATTACCTAATTCAATGATCAGTGTGTTGTCCAGACTGAGGTGTGTGGCAGAGCAGCTGTATTTGTGTTTGTCTGCACTGATCTCCAGACTCTTCCTCATCTGGTACGTCCCGTCACCATTGGGCAGCAGATCTCCTCCAGTGATCTCATGATCAGATACAGGCTGTCCATCTCTGAACAGGGTCAGGTTGATGTGACGAGGGTAAAATCCTGTTGCCAAACAACTCACACGAAACCCTCCAGAATCTGAGTTTGCTTTTTGGGTGAGTGTGATATTGGGCGGTTCTGTAGGGGGAGGAGGAAAAAAATAAACAAGAGGTGATTCAGAGAACGTTTTACATGTATAAATACATGGGTTTATTTTTAATCCTGAAGATTTACTCTAAACAGTTACATTTGTTTTCATAAAACAAATTTAGGGAATTTAGATGTGCCCTTGAGTACGTACTTTTTCTGTTAATTTGATCTCTTCTCTTTTTGAGGTAATTCTTTAGAGTTCTTATACAAAGTGGGTAAAAGGTCTTTGCAAATTCCTGCTTAAATTCTTCCAGGTCAGGTTTGATCAGTTCTTGTTTAATATTGACAGTCACAGTATAAGTAAACGTGTTGTTAATGTAACACACTTCATCTGTGGTGGAGCCTCTGGTAGCATCTGTAACAATCATCTTTCCCGGCTTGTCGAAGTCCAGCAGCTCACACACAACCTGTGTCTGATAAACATCAAGACCTGTGAGGGAAATGAGGGAGAATGGTTATGGGAGATTGTCATGGATTGGCCTCCTTCATCTTACACTCTTTGTTTAGCAAACCATTTTGAAGAGAAATATAATTTAAAAAACTCTATAAACTCTTAAATTGTCTGTAAATAACCACATGCTATTTCACAACCTAAACTAACATTGCCTTGTAAAAAAGTTATAAAAATCAAATTATCTGATCGTCACGGTTTCCCCTAAGTGTGTTGACTCTTACTTTGTAGTATTTCCCGTTTTAGTTCCTGTTCCCCATACGTTTCGGGTGCTAGTTTGGTAGTCCCCTTGCAGTTCCTTGATCATTGGTACCATAGACATAATAAATACATAGACGCCCTATTGGCCGCTTTGGAACGTTGCTGCGATACGTCAACGGGTCCGCCATTTTGCGGAGGGCAAGACTGCGCTGTAATCAAATGTAAGTAAACGGGGGAGCTGCGTTTTTTCTGGATAAAAACAAACTGTTTTTACATTTATCAACCGATTTCAGTGGTTTGTATGTGGTGTACAAAAAGTTCCATCTCTAGTTACTTAAAATCTCGATAGTTAGACTTGTAAAATATATTTTTTTTAATAAAGAATGGTCAAAGCTCAGGCTTGTCGGTCCGTGTATCTTTTGGTCATTTGATTTCCTGTTTGGAATGGAATAACGAGAAATGAAATCCAGCTCGTTTATTCGTTTTTTTTGTTTAGTTTAAAAAACGAAAAATTAGATTTTGGCTCGATTTTTCATTTTTCGTTTGTGGTTTACAAATCGGTTTATGGGTTCGATATTTCATTTGCACACGTGGGCGGCGCTGAAACGCCCCTTTCATCTGATTGGTCAAACCGCTCCGCCTTCAGTACAAGCTTTTCTTTCTGTCGGGCACAATAAGAGAATTAATAAATGCACTTTAATAAAACAATGTCTGAAACCACCACTCACTGTTAACTACGCACAATATTTGAAGCAGAAATGTTGCTGGTCACGTAACTCGTGCTGCTGCGACTTGCAAGCGACCCCAGTAATGTGAGCCACAGTAGACCTAGGCCTATATGACAGATTACTTTAGCATGATGTATTTCCCATTGATAAATACAGTGCAAATAGTTCCGTCTCTTTGGATAAAAGGGAATAGGAAAAAAAATAATCAATAACTGAACTGTACCATGATAAAATATGTCCGTAACATTAGATGTCCGTAGATGACCTACCCATAACGGTTACATTAGAGTTAGGGGATAACACAGTTTGTACAGTATAAAAATCATGATGTCTAAAGTTCCCATAAAACATGAAAACCCAATGGGAATATATCCTTGTTGTTGTGTAAAACATCCGTTCATAATCTGTGATTACACAATAGCACCGGGAGGCGTCTGGAATAACTGTGCAATGATCAATCCGCATTTTTACGTAAACCAGCTAATTTTACAGTAGGCTATGTCCTTCTCGTATAACACACAAATGGGCTTCCTTTGTGAAATATAGCAGACCGCCTTTTTTTAAACTGTTATTTAAGATATATTTGTGCATAAATGTTTGCATTCAAGTTTTTCATATAGTCAGTCCGACAGATAGATAGATAGATAGATAGATAGATAGATAGATAGATAGATAGATAGATAGATAGATAGATAGATAGATAGATAGATAGATAGATAGATAGATAGATAGATAGATAGATAGAACCTTTGTAAGATATTGTAAGATATGCGCTCGTCTTCACAAAAACTACATGCAGGGTTTTTAAACATCTCGTGTGGAGAAAATATAGTTTATTCTGGGCAGTATGGCAAGCCATGGCAAAAAGCAGGCTAACTTGTAGGCTATAGCCTTGAAAGGAAAACACATTTGCCGAGTTAAAACAGAGTTTTTGTTGTTGAATCATATTTTTTCTAGTACATCTTAAAATATAGAGCTCATGACAAATAAAAGTTCCAGATGGACTAATATTAAATGCAAAAACTAACAATATCTTAAAAGAAACTATAGAGTGGCAAACTTTGAAGTAGGGTTCAAGTTTTAATTAGTTTTACAGCTTGAAATGTAAAGCTTGTTCTCATACACAGATATGGCCTATTTATGAATGAAATTCATGCTTTTATTTGTCATTTAAACTGATGTAAACAGGAAAAGAGTAGAAAGACGTATTATCCTGTCGCCCCCTCTAGTGGACAGCATTAAGTATTACGCCCATTGCTCAGATAACGCAAGTCAATGGATTTTTTTGGGAAAGTAAGTCTGACCAGTTAGAAAAAGATATAAGCGAGTCAGACCAGTCTGAAGGTCTGAGCTGAGTTTGGTGAAGCATTAAAGTTCTAGGCGGAGTCAATTTCTCATAATAATAATAATAACGTTTAAATATATGCTTTCTCAAGCCAACATAATAAACAGAACTCAGAGAAACATCGACCAATTCAGTATGTAATAAAATTGTATTAGTTTTATAATAAAACTAATAACATTTTAAAGGTATGCCGTGCTCTTCAACTGTCATGATTTTAATTAATCCCAAACCCTGCTAATTTTGAAAGTAGCCTAGCCTACGTTCTGTACGTTCACTGATTCTAGCTTCTCTCTTTTCTGTCTCTTTCTTTTCATGTGAACCGAGTAGGCTATAGCCTATGCTTACATTTATAAATATAAACTTTATTTCTATTCAATTTTCAAAATTATTTAGGCATATACTGTGCATGTCACACACACACACCTTTTGATGTAAGTAAAATACGAGAGTGGTAAATGTTATGAACATATTATCATGTTACAGTTCAGCCTATTATTGATTTTTATTTCCACTTCCCTTTTATCCAAAGAGACGGAACTATTTGCACTGTATTTATCAATGGGAAATGCTAAAATAATCTGTCATAGGTCTACTGTGGCTCACATTACTGGGGTCGCAGAGCCCCCATTACCAGCAACATTTCTGCTTCAAATATTGTGCGTAGTTAACAGTGAGTGGTGGTTTCAGACATTGTTTTATTAAAGTGCATTTATTAATACTCTTATTCTGCCCGACAGAAAGAAAAGCTTGTACTGAAGGCGGAGCGGTTTGACCAATCAGATGAAAGGGGCGTTTCAGCGCCGCCCACGTGTGCAAATGAAATATCGAACCCATAAACCGATTTGTAAACCACAAACGAAAAATGAAAAATCGAGCCAAAATCTAATTTTTCGTTTTTTAAACTAAACAAAAAAACGAATAAACGAGCTGGATTTCATTTCTCGTTATTCCATTCCAAACAGGAAATCAAATGACCAAAAGATACACGGACCCTTGTCATGTATCTGGCTTTTTATTCTTGGATAAGAATGGTGAAGAAGAATGAATAATTTAAGTTTTCTTATTGTGGAAAAAGCATTTTCCGTGATTGACCAGATTTTAGCAATAACAAAGATAACTGATGGATCCTTTATAATAATACGTTATGGTACAACTACAGTGCAATGCAAATAGTAAATATAACATAAAGTGAGAAGGAATAGTAAATAGTTTAGTCAATAAAAAAAAAATAGTATACAGCAAATAAAATAGTAATGATTAGTATAATTATATCATATCATAAGTACAATAATACAATCATAAAAATATTGATAATAGCATAGTTTATTAATAATACTATAATAATAATAATAACAATAGAATAAGAAATATCAATTACAGAATATACACAATAAAAAATAAGTTAAATAGTGACTTTAATATTTAACTCTTTTTGTTAAATTTCAGTTTTATTGATCAGTAATAGCCATTATAACAGAAGTAGCTTCAGTCAAACATACAGCAGGATACAATGTTAAAATAGCCTAAATATAAAGTTATGAAACTTCACTTTGCCCTCAGCCAAAACGATTTACCAGGGAACCATTTATAGATTAATGAGACCAAAGATCGCCCGTTAGATATACACAAGACAAATTATATCTCATGTTTAACCACTAGACTACAGACATCCGAGTCAGCGGCAAAACTTCAGAAGCACTGGCCGAGGTACGGCTGTTCCAGGCGGGGTAGACGAGCGCTGAGCGCATCTTACAACTCCGAAAACGTCAGATCAAATTTTTAAATAGGCGCTATCTTTATAAACAAACCACATATTTGAGCTTTAAACAACTACATTGTCGACTGAAAAACTATTTAAACTACATTTCGTGACACAATAACAGTAGTATTTTTAAATGTATCCTCTGAACGTTACTATTACTAATTAAATCATGACCAAATACAACCAAAAACAAACGTTCAGTCTTGCTTGTGAAAGGTAATTCCTCGAAAGCTGTTTTCAATTGTGTGGCGATGTGTACAGCCCCAAACAGCGCACAAAACATGCATTTTTCTCAATTCCCGGTATGAGTATGGGAAAGTTGCCATCCCCAACATGGCGGCGCCGTTGACGTACGCTCCAGCATATGGCAAGCCGTTTTAACTTTTATTCATTTCCAGGATATGAATACTTGATATCAACAATTCAATTTTCACTAGTTAAAATTATAATTATTGATATCAGGAATAATATTTCTACTAGTAACAATGGCAATTTTTGATATCAGGAATTACATTTTCACTAGTAACAATGGTAATTCTTGACATCAACATTTACATTTTCACTAGTTAAAATGATAATTCTTGAAATCAACAATTGAATTGCAACTAGTAAAAACTATCATTTATGATATCTGTAATTGTATTTTCACTAGTGAAATGTCACCATAGGCTTATGGCAAGCCGTTTTAGCTTTAATTGTACCCAGCCTTACTCGTCGTAATTACATTTTTACTAGTAATAATTCAATTAGAGAGCTCTACAATTCAATTATTACTAGTAACAATTACAATTAGAGAGCTCTCTAATTCAATTATTACTAGTAACAATTACAATTAGAGAGCTCTCTAATTCAATTATTACTAGTAACAATTACAATTAGAGAGCTCTATAATTGAATTGTTACTAGTAAGAATTACAATTAGAGAGCTCTCTAATTCAATTCT